AGTACGGGTCGTAAAGAGAGGAGAGAGAGAGAGGGAAAATAAAAAGAGCGGAGCGGGCACCTCTCGCGAGCTCGAGTTGCCCGCCGGCGGTGCGATGCGATTCACGACCCCTCGAAGCTCCAACGCACACAAAATGTTTCTCTTTCTCTTTTCAGTTTTGAGCGTAAACTCTCGCCCGGATTAAAAAGGAGTCGAGTTGAACGCATTGACAACAACAACAACAACAAAAAAGCTCGAGACGGAAATAGAAAGTTGACTGCGAGCACCTTTGAAGAGTCTCTTTTACCCACTCGTAGCTTCACACCGGCATTCATCATCGTGACAGCCCAGGCAGCATCGGCGCTCACTGCCCAACTCCTGTCCTCCGAAGGCCCCCTTCTCCGAAGGGCCGCTTCTCTCCCAGCCATCACATTTTTAGCCGTACCCTTGACCCCGGACCGGCGCTCTCGTGTTTTTGAGAGCGTTCCTCCGTTCGCATCGACGCGCCAACAAAAAAAGACCCCAACCCCGGCAAAACGAACAGCGGAGATTGATTCATTAGCGGCGCGATATATTCATTCTTTTTTTTCCCCCCCCTATCCGCTGAAAGTCACGGGGTTTTTTTTTTTCTTTCTCGGTAAGTAAAGTTACCTAAAGCAAAAGGCCGACACGTGTTCCAGGTCATCTTTATTTAAGCACAACAATTACGGCCATGAATTATAAAGTCATGCTCCGCTCGTTAGCGGGAGCCTATTAATAAGGGGGCCGCTCAAGTGATGCCCGGGCGGGCGGGCGGGCGGGCGGGCCCACCACGGCTCGGGTTTAAACCCCGCAGGCCCCGTCGCTGTGTCCGCCCGGGGACGCACGGCGGAGTGGAACCAACCGCGCCCACAATGTCGGCGCTCACCTCTAGTGCCGACATCGCCGCCACCGCTGGCGTGCGTGCGTGCACGCATACGCGAACGCACGCACGCGGCAACGCATATGCCCAGATACATGCAAGGAAGGCGCCGCCCCTTCACCATCGCGCGCGTATACAGTCGGCAAAAAAAATCGCCAAGTCGAGATATTTGGTCAATATTACGGGGAGAAACGAAATTTTTACCACTTCCGCAACCCCACATCAACCCTCCCGTCCTCCTCCACTGTCCAATCCTGTGCCATGGTGATTCAAGGAAAATGTCACCGTTCAGGGTTGCGATTCTCTAATTTTTGTCTTGTTTTTACCCCCCCCCCCCCCCCCACCTTATCTCATTTGTCTTGTTTCACATTTGTTACATGCTGTGTAATTATTTCATCTGCTCAATAATAGTTAACAGCTCATTTGGCAAATCCACCGCTGGGTGAATGAATCTCCACACCGAGTGAGTTATGGGGAGTTGTTGGACTTAATGACGCTGGTCTGTGCAGGCGAGTGAAGATGAAACCCTCAGACTGCATCATATATCACTCGCCACCAAAGTTGATTCGTGGCCAAGAATCAAACTCAGGTCACCACCAGGTTCATAACACAGTGCGCTAACCATTGCGCCACCACTCCAAACCAGAGTGTGCATGTAATATTACTTAAAGAGCAAACCTTTTCTACAAACACTGCCCAAAGTGACCGCTTTCATCTTTGTAACGATCACAAAAGGAGTTGTCACCAAAAGCGCCGTTGAGCCACAGATAAGCACGTGCTCACACAGCTGCAAGGGGCCCAGGAGAATACAGCACAGCAAAGGATTACTGAATCCATCCGTGCAGAGCTTTGAGTTTTATCCCCTCGCATGCGTGCGTAGGTTTTACAGGGTCCTCCAGTTTCCACGCACATGAAGCAAAGACACTAATTACCTTGAATATGGTCAAACATTCCAATGCAGAACCCTCCTTAAAAAAAAGTCTTTGAGACTCAGTGACACTTTCCTGTTTAAATAAAATAAATATTTATTGTATTGCACTTATAAGCGCACCTTGAAGGCAATGCAAGGTGGACACGTGTGTTGCAATAATCGGGGCTCACGCAACCAATGTGAAATTTTGGCTATGTCCAGTACCCGTGCAGTGATCTTCAACTCGCGCAAGATGCATACATTTGCATTGCGGCTCTAAGAATCACCGAATCACTCGAGGAACTCGCGTGCGCACAAACAGGTCAGGGGTCAAAAGGTCAAAGTGCATCCCTGCTCAAATAGGCAAAGGGGTGGCAAGCTTTTCAACGAGCAGCGCTGCCCAATTGCGTGGAAATTCCAAATTCCCATGACGAGAGGCATTGCATTCTACCAGGCGACCGACCGCCCGCGGTCGACTGCAGCAGAAGACCGAACGGTGGTAGTCATTTCACCGTCAGCGCAAGGCGACGATGAGCTAAAGCTCAAGCGACCCCCCTCCATGACCCAGAATATGAACTCGCGACCTTCAAACGATACTCTGAAAGAAGCGTCATAGCGCCACGCAGGCAACAACGCACAATCGCGCGCGCAGAAAAACACAACGCACTCCGTAACCATCGCTTTCCGCGCCACCTGTTACCCGGCTCGCAACACCCATCATTTTACCAAGCACCCACCCCAACTGCCCCCCCGACAACCCATCACTAACCCCCCCTGTCTCATAATTGGCCAACGACGGGTACCCCCCCAACCCTACCTAACACCCCCTCCCCGCCGCCACCCCCCCCCCCCCCCCCCCCCATTGCAACCGGCGACGAGCGCCACATTCATCGAGGAAGGACCTTGATGGAGAGCACGAAGAAGCTCGGCACGGTGATATACGCCGCTCCCAAACTCCCATCTCCGCGACCTTGGCGCCGCCGTTAACAAAGTGGACTGGGCCAAGGGGGGGGGGGGGGGGCCGCGGGCGGTGTGGGGTGCGGCGGTCGGACCGGCTCACTGCTCCCGCTCCGCTCTTACTTACTTATCGACCGGGCCGCGTGAGGAATTGGCCGATATAATGTCCAAATGGATATCCCGAGCCCTGCTTTACGTCTCTCTCCGTGCGACAGCGAGGCAAGCCACCTAACCTCGTGCCAAGTGGACTTTCGCATTTTTTTTTTATTTCCGGCCGCGATGAAGTTGGTGTGCGTGCGTATGTGCCGGCACGACTGTGGACGTCGCGCCAGGGCGGCTCAGCCGGGATGACGTCGGTTAAAGATATTGATCCGCGGCCCATCTCCCGCACTTGAGCTGCGATACTTTTTAGTTTTACCTTGGTTGCCTATAAATGCCGGTCCTCTCGACCTCTCTTTCTCCCAAACCGCCTCCCCCCCCACCCCCCAGCCACCCCTGTGTGTATAAAAAATAATACGATGAAATACAACCTAAATTTTGCGAAATATAGTGCCGCTTTAAGAGCGTTAGGTTTGTCGAGTATGAATTGACAACAGGTGTTGATGTGCTCTTATATACGTATTCCTGTGAACATTTTACACTGTACACACACACTCACGTGATTAGACACACATCATGCACTTTACATATTCTCCACAGCACTCAGTTAAGGGCTGACTTGAGGGCTTGTCTCAGACCATGTGGTATTTGTGTATAAAATAAAAAAAACCCGATGCTTATTATTTGTTCCAGAATTTATGATGCTGAATTAATGCTTCTGTTCAACGCAGGACATTGCTAAATGTAATTAATTTAACGTTCTTGCACGTCCACTTGTGCTGCGTTGTGTTCAAGCTGGGGGTTTGGGGTGCAGCTGTGTAGTTACACAAACACAATGGCGCAACGTGACATTTCCTGGATCGCCAGAAGGCAGTACAGCAAGTGGACTGATCGCCATCTGTTTCCATCTGTGCGGGGATAGAGTGTTGCCCCCTTGCACGCCGTGGGCTCTCTGCGGTTTCCTCCCACTTGTATAAACACTCAATCGTTAATTGGCTGAAAAGACCTTCAAATAAAAACCCAAATGCAGGACCCTCCTGAAAAAGAGTGCTGTGCCTGAGTGTGGCTCGCGAGCACCATGGAGGCCAGCATGGCACACAAAGAGGTGGTAGCAAGCAAACACAAACCAACACACAAAGACAAAGATCACAACCTTCCCCCCCATAGCCTTAACACACTGTAGGGGCAAGTGCTGTTAGCGAGCACCTATGAAGGCCGGAACGGTACACGAGGGGGTGGGTGGCCAACACCACGCCCGGCCGCCTTTGTCTCCCTAGTGACGATGTTTACACATCGCACCAGGTACTCATTTGAGGCTAAGTCGACCTAGGGGAGGCCCAGAACCGGTTCAGATAATCGTCACTGGTGTTGGCCGTGAGCGGGAATCGAACCCGAGTCGCCGGGTTCATAGCACAGCGCGCTAACCGCTACACCACCGCTCCCCACTCACACGTACACACACACATATAGGACACAGACAAACACAGAGAGAGGCAGACAATTATAGACGGGGAGATAATGGGTGTGAATGAGACATACAAAACAAAGACAAATATCCCCTGTATAGCCTTAACAGACTGTTGGGGCAAGTGCTGTTAGCGAGCGCCTATGAAGAAATGAGACATACGCACATGCAGATATATACACATACACACACGATGGACACAGATACACACGGAGGTGAATTCCCGATTCCCTCCAGTTGCTCCGGCCACTGGCGGTCAGTCGCTTCGTGATCACTGTGCTATTGCGACTGCCGTGGTTACTGCTTCCCCGAACTTCACTCATTCATTCCTCCATCCGTGTTGATGCCTCGGCATAGCAGTCTTCATGTTTCGTGTCATCTGCACCGTGTTCAAGCACCACGCTGCAGGCCGCAACGCTTCCCCCTTTCCCGCTTCTTTCCTCGCACTGCTTGGGTGTGGAATATCCTCCCAACTTTTCCCCAGGCTATTGTAACCTTTCTCAATTCAAGAAACGTATTAACTCTTATCTTTGCAAACTATAACAGTGCAGTTTGTTGCTGTCTGCTTGGGAGTTTTTGGGCCTTTGGGCCTGTGCCCAGCAACCCGTATTAAAACATATATATAATACAGAGAGACAAGGGAGACACGGACACGAATTAGACAGATTTGTGGGCAGAGAGAAACTCACCGCCACCGCGATGCGGCCAAGGACGTGCTCAGGGACCGTGCCGTACATGTCCAGGGAGCCCCCTGCACGAGACACGGGCACGAGTCAGCGCCAGCACACCAGCACGCACACCAGTACGTACACGCCAGGCACACGCAAATGTGCACACACGCAACAACAAGACGGACCTCCCTGCAAAATAGCCGGGCCTACTGGCTAAACGGGACCGTCTGTGTGACGAATCACGTACACCCAAACCTGAAACTCAAGCAGCTGCCATTAGCCACCAAATAATGATGCCACCACGGCGCTTGTGCACGGCTACGTGGACTCTGAGTTGGCGAAGGCTCACGATGTGATGGCGATGTCACGAGAACGCTTGTGTCAGCCTAGATGTTCGAAGGCCCTCCCGCTGGCATGAGGTCACGGGATGCAACCCAATGTTAAGGGGTTAACCGAGTGAGATGACCGGGCAATGCTCCACTTCTGCTCCCCACTGTACTTTCGCAACACAGTATTCCCTCATTATCCACGAACTTGCCATCCGCAATTTTGGCTGTCCGCGAATCACATCTGGAAATCTACTCGGCTCCATCGAGAGAGAGACAGATAAATCAAGTGATGAGATAAAGTGATGCGAATGTGATGCGAGAAATTGAGTGAGTGTACATATATACGGACACACACGTCTGTACACCACGTGTCAAATAAAATAAAAAATGCTTCACCGCTAAATCCTTTTCTATAGACATGAACGGTATATGTTCAGGCATCAATAATACTCAATGCCAATCAACAGCAATGTTGTACAGCAACGCATGGGTATTTGTTTAAGTATCAATAACGGTCAATGGCGATCAACAGCTTCGATGTACGGAAAGGCCCTGCGCTTTAAATAAGAGGTTTGTCAACTTTTTTTGGCCACTCGATTGAATCGTCTGGAGAAATACAATTCAGTGTCCTTTATTTAACCAGGCTCGAGTCCACAGAGAGAAATGACCTAGTTTGCAAGTGAGATGATGATGATGATTACAACATAGTGGGGTCTCCTTGAGGACATTTGTCATTTTTTTTTTATTTAGCAGAGGGTTCTTTTGTGCGATTTGGGCTCCCGTATCGGAGCACGTCATGGCATCGGGGGGTCGCGAGAGATGCTCGCTGGCTTGGGGGAGAACCTTTATCCAGCGGTGGAATGATCATGACCGATGATGAACAATGACGTCGAGCACACTTCGCTGTGCGCGTGTGAATACCGATCAAGTGAAGACGCTCATAAATAGCAAAAGGCAAACCAAGAGCGACTCATATTCTTAGTTTTTTCGGTAAAGTCACGTTGAAGGGAAACAACAAAATAATAAAATATATATAAAACAATAAAAAAATTCTCACGACGTTTCGACCATAACTCAAACGGTCGTCTTCAGGTGTGTTGGTTTGCATAAATTTATTTTTAAATGGCGCATTTATTTATTTATAAAAACGTTAGCGCAACGACCGTTTGAGTTATGGTCGAAACGTCGTGAGAATTTTTTTATTGTTTTATATATATTTTATTATTTTGTTGTTTCCCTTCAACGTGACTTTACCGAAAAAACTAAGAATATGAATTACTGCAGTCACGAAAGCTTTAAATCAAAATTCAAGAGCGACTCATCGAGAATTCACCGGCAAGACGGGTACCTATGGATGCCCTTTAAACAAACGGCATCTTTAATCACTCGCAAACAGCTTAGCAAGGAGTTATCCGAGAACAGTTCAGCGAGTATTCATTTATTACATATCAACGATGGATGAGAAAGAAACTCACCGTCCATGAATTCCGTCGCGATGGATATTCTGTTTTCAACAAAAAATGCACCGTAGAAGGCTATGATGTAAGAAGAATCGCACTGTGGGCAAAGGAAACCAATACAATGAACAGAAACACAGGACAGATATAACGACACGTTCACTCCTGTATAATGAGTGCGAGATTTTATTTTTTAATAAACAACTTACACAGGATTAGCGTTAACAATGCCGTGGCAAAGATGGAGAGAACGGCTCACCTTGTAAAGAATGTCCAGCTCTGACATGATCTGCCTTTGGACCTCTGGCGTCACGTCCAACGGAATCACCTGGACGAGGGAGGATTTTTGTTAAAGAAACGCGACTCCACGCTTTACTGGAAATGCAAGCAGACGAGGCCCTCGCAAAAATGAAACGACCATCAGCCCCACGGCCCCTGTGCACTGCAGGTCAAGGGGGCAAGTGGGACAGCAAGGGGGAGGGCGAATATTGTGATAGGGAGAGGGAGCGAGGGGCAAGGCGAGACAGTGGCGATGCACTGAACTCAAATTGAGCGAGTAGGAAACATGGAAGGAGTGTCGGAGACCGAAATGGATGACAAAAACCAATGAGCGGTTGGCGAAAATGAAGAGAGGAAGGTGCAGATGGAGAGGTTGAGACGCTAATGCATAAGGAAACTCAGCGCGTCTTGAGACGTGTGACATACTGTAGCTGGGGGTAGCGGCTAGAGCTAACACTAATTTCCCCGCAGGCCTAACGCAGGCTCAAGAAGGAAAGTTAACCCTCCAGACGCCCGCATTCATTGTGCTGCTTCTTACCAACCGCCCATTAGCGGTAGGTGGAGGGGGGAAACATCGTACTCGCCACACATGTATAACACTTGTTTCTTTGCAACAGCATTATATGTGTGTGTATATATACACACACACTCGTCGAGCTGGAATACGCAGAATTCAAATTCAGGCACGGGGCGGCGGGAAAAAAACCAACGAGCGCTTGCGCTCGCGCGCCACAACCAAAAGCGGCGTGTTCCCGCCGCTACGTCCGAAGGTGTTAAACAAGGGCGCCAGGCCGAGCGCGGTGCGGCGGCACCACCGCCGCGTGCCCACCAAGCGCGCCGTCGCCCGCCACCCCCCCCCCCCCCCAAGCCCTCCTCCCTCTACTCTTCACACTCCAGTTAAAACCACCGGGAGAGTAAGGAGCTCCGGCGAAGTCATTTATCACTGCCAAGCCACCGCCGCCGCAGCCGCCGCCACGCGCCCACACACCGCCGGCCCGCTCCAACCGCACGCCTCCCTCCCTTCCACTCGGGGTCACTCTCTTTCCTAGAAGCTCGCAGGAGGGCCCGAGCGTACGGCTTTGGCAAAGCTGCACGCGCGCGCACCCGCCCACGCAATTTCGCACGCTGAGAAGTGGTGCGGGATTCTTACAAGGGCGGGCAGTGATTCCGAGGGTTTTTCACCGTGAGGTTTTATTCTAAACCATTGTGCGCGTGAATGTAAGTTTTATTCTAAACCATTGTGCGCGTGAGTGTAAGTTTTATTTTAAACCATTGTGCGCGTGAATGTAAGTGCAAAACGCAGAGGCGGGAGACAAGTACAGGTGAGGGACGCGAGTACTATGGCAAAGGTCGCCCGTACAGCCTACGGAGAGTGTTGGGGCATACCGCTGTTGTGGCGAGCGCCCATTGAGGCTGGAATATCACACGAGTGGGTAGTGTCGCTAGCACCACGCACGGCTGCCTTCGTCTCCTCACTGCTGACGTTTACCCACTGTACCAGGTACTCGGGACTGATCTCGCTCGTCACAATAAAAATAAAAACCTAATCAACATTAATTCATCAACTCTCTTATATATTGTCCAAATGGTCTCTCATCTCTCGCTCCATCTTTGTTTTCTAAATCTCTTTCACGCAACTCAACTGTGTCGCTATTCTCTCACTAGGAGTTTATCAATCAAAAGGGCCAGGGGATGAGGGGAGGTAAATTGATTTCTCCCTAGGGCCCTCAATGGGCCATCACACACACACATCCACGCCCCCGCACAACCACAAAGAAAAATGCAAAGATCCCCTTGTATAGCCTTAACAGACTGTTGGGGCAAGTGCTGTTAAGGAGTAGCACCTATGAATGGCGGCGCAACACACGAGGGGGCGGGTGGCCAGCACAACTCCTAGCCACCTCCATCTCCCACAGTGGCGGTGTTTAAGCACCGCACCAGGTACTCATTTCAGGCTGAGTTTGACCTAGGGGAGGCCCAGGACCGGTTCAGATAATCGTTACTGATGTTGGCCGTGAGCGGGAATCGAACCCGGGATCGCCGTGCTAGCTGCTGCACTACCACTCCCCAAAGACACACACGCACATTTCCACGGACAAGCGATAGCCAAAGCAACACGAGGACCGGGTAGTAAGTCGACAGTGGCCCTTGCAGATGCTCAATGTCAAATTCTGAAACGTCTACCCGTCCCACACGGAACGCGCAAGGTACGACAAACTCATAATCGCTATTTTGAAACGAGCAGAACAATAAAAAAAAACACGCGAGACAATGTATCTTAAGCAGTATATTTTATAGCCTTTCCAAAGTGCTCTAATTATAAAACTGACAGGATATGGCAGCTCTAACTAAGGCGCTATGGGGCCCAGGTGGTTATCAATAAGGTAAGCTGATCAATGAAGATGGCTCTTCCCCAATTTAATTAAAACTGAATTAACAACCTTGGAATACTGTGTATAGAAATAATTACAAGCATTGGATACACATGTGCACGTGTGCGCGTGCACATAAACACAAATACACTTGTGCACAAAGACAGAGATTTCCCATATAGCCTTTAACAGGCTGTTGGGGCAAGTGCCGTTTGCGAACACCTATGAAGGCCGGTACGGCACACAAAAGTGTGGGTGGCCAGCACCATGCCCAGCCAAGTGGCAATGTTTACACACCACACCAGGTACCGTTTTCAGGCTGAGACGCCCTAGGAGAAGGCCTAAAACCAGTTCAGATAATCGTCCCTGGTGCTGGCCACGAGCAGGAATCGAACTCTTATCACCAGATTGGTAGTGCAACATGCAAACCACTACGCACACACACACTCACATACATACAAAGTCAAACATCCTGTGTAGCCAACACACCCACGTACACCCAGAGAAAAAAGATCCCCCATCGACCCTTTAACCATACTTAAGGCCAAGATCAAGGTCATGAGGTCAACATCGCCTATGCTAGAGCCCAAAGTTGTTGTAAAGCTGACACTCGACTTTCAAGGTCCGCTCTGACATTATCCCACCATCTGGCTTTTGGCACTGGAGGTTGCTTTTAAATGGGTTATCTAAAGCACTTGCATGTCCTTGACATATGGCCAACCTTTCAAAGTGTCTTGCAGGCAACGAGGAACGTGCAAATTACAGACGACGCTCACAACCGGCAATGAACATTACTTCATTCCTCGGCACGTTTAACGGGGAACGGAGAATGCTCTCCATCGCATCAACATAAAATATTAACGGGGTCTTCATGACTGCAGCAGAAGGCAGCGGCAGCGGCGGCAGCACAGTGGCTAAGCGGCGCTGCACTATGAACCTGGCGGGGCGATGTCCGAATCGGGGTCCCGAGCCACGGCGAAGTACGGTCAAACGCCCCACAGGACCAACGCGGTGTGTGGGGAAGCCCTCATTCAGCAGCGGCACTTAAAGGCTAGCAGTGACGCGGCATCGCTTTCGTCGCTCATTGCAGAAGTTCACGGTTCAGAACCTGTGGGCCGCCTTGGTTATTGTTTACTGCCGGTATATTAACTAAACGAACGCGCCGTCCGCTTCACAGCGGACGTGGGGGAATCCGGTCACATCATTTGCAAGAGTCGGCCAATGTGTGCTGGCACAATGTCCAAATTTGTTGAATAACATGCACAACTGGAAAAAAATGGCAGGACCCTCCTAAAAAGAGTCTTGAGACTCGGTGAGGATTTCATGGCTAAAAAAGCATACCGATAAAATAAATAATCGGCAGATGAATCACATTTTGCCCCTGCAACTATCTATAAAAAAATGTTTCTTCAATACAATATTGGGCAAACGTCTTCTGAATAACTCCGGTGACAGCACGTCACCTCGTCTGTTGCCCCTTATAATATGACGAATATCTCTCTCGCTTATTCTAGATTTTCACAAGCTAATCACTCATCCATTTCAATGCTAAATTATATGCTAATTCCTTTGTCAAGGCGCTTTGTTTCTTCTCACACAGCTTAAAGGTCGTGATCTGAGCGTGGCTTTTTCACTCCAGCTCTGTCCTCCAGACAGTCTCGTCCCTTCACCTGATGAAGGCCGCTTGTGTTATGGCCGAAACGTCGTGATTTTTGTTATTTTATTTTTACCGACGTGACTTTACCCAATAGAACCAAAGAGTATCTCTCGCTTATATTCAATTGCATTTGAATGTCATATATACCAACTTATTCTAATAATTCTGAGAATTAAATAAATATTCCAGAAGTTATTTATATACTTCTTGGTAGAATTTAACATTTAGAATGTATATTGTTTGAAAGAAGTTCAACATACATCCATTTTACGAATTATTGAAAAAATGAAGAATTATCATTCATCGCTATAATTATTATTACGAATGAGTAACGAGGAGCGGTGGACACTCTGCCCCATTCACCGTGTCGTGGATCTCAAAGGGACCTCCTTCGTGACCGTCAGCGATGGACAACATCACGACCCCTTTCACCAAAAAACCCGTTTCGACATAAATACGGCATTCCCTCGTTAGTCGCGAGCAATAACGTTCCGGTGACGCTCGTGACAAAAAAGCACATTTCGCGGACAATTATATTGGCCTACGAAAAAAAGAAGCCTATCTTTTTAAGGAATTACCTTAAATACATAGGTGAGGGAGCTTTCAAATATACAGAAGTGATGACAACACACAAATAAATAAAAATGTATTGTAATAAACATGAAGCAAATACGAATAAATATGAAAGTATTAAATAATAGCTTACAAATGAACTTACCTTAAATTATGATGACGATGCTGCACAACAGAATCACATTGTCCCTCGTCACTTTATCTCATCGCGTTCTTTCCCCCCTCTCGATGCTGCCGCATGGAGTTCCAGATGCGATCCGTGGATAGCCAAAATGATTGACGTAGCAAGTTCGTGAAATAACGAAGGAACACCCTAGACGTTCGCTGACATATGAAACGAGCCGCTGATCCCTGCACGACCCACCAATCCCATTTCCAGAGCGCTGGATTACTGGTGTGCGTCGCCATGCCCGGCAGCTCCAATTGCATTAATAGCCATTGTGCTCTCATCCTAATTTTAATTACACTGCGATAAATTAATTGTGGAATTAAAATGTAAATATTGCGGTGGCCGTAATCACGTTGTTAAATAGCACAGATTAAAGAAAAGGAAGCGACATCCTCCCAAAGAGAAAAACAAACAATAAAGCAGGACCATAATACATTCAAACACAATGACATTAAGATAATATAGAGCTAGGAGAGTGTGCAATGGTACAACTGTTGGGACAAGTGCTGTTAGCGAGCACGGCGCACGAAGGGGTGGGTGGCCAACACCACGCCCGGTCGCCTTTGTCTCCCCAGCGATGATGTTTACACACCGAACCGGGTACTCAATTGAGTCGACATAGGGGGAGGTCCAGGACCGCTTCTGATATTCGTCACCGGTGTTGGCCGTGAGCAGCAATCGAACTCGGGTCGCCGGGTTCGTAGCGCAGCGTGCTAACCCGCTAAACTACCGCTTCCAGGTCAACACCGTCACCCACCCGCGATGACCAATGCGATTTAAAGCGATTTAAAAAAAACACTTCCCAAAGGCGTAGGGAGGCCTTCATCCAGTAGGGAAATTGACAAAGGGCAGGATATTATTTATTCTGATTATTCATACAGGAAGTAGAAAAATGTCTAATGATGCCATTTAAACTATACGCGTTGTATATAGGTTAAAACTATATTTAAGTCTGAATACATAAAATGAACGAATCTCTGAGCAACGGTAGCAGCAAAGGGGAGATTCGGCTTTGGCTCGCTGATGAAAGTCGGACGTGCGTTGGTGGGAATCTCTCCGGTGTATGCTTTACCCACCTTTATTGCCATGATCTTCCCGCTCGGGAGGTGATTGGCTCTGCCGAAAACAAACAGCAAACCATCGGACACATTGTCAGCATCGTGATGACAAACATCAGCCTTGTAATGATTCACCCATTCATCGACTCGGATCGATTCTTACGCTCACGATACAAGCGATCATGAAAATTACACGCACGACATGCTCCTTTTGTGTTTTTTGCTAGTCGCGCAATTAAAACTGTACAACCGGGACAGACAAAAATGAGATACAAAGGAAACGGGATGGTAAATACAGAGACAAGGCAAAATATTTGTTTTTTTTTTAAATCTTGAAATGAATGACGATCCTCAATGGGGACAGTTCCTCAAATCGCTGAGCGGGAGAGGGAAGAGTAGACACACGTTTATTAAAAATGCATCTTCAAATGCATGTTGTGGACCGAGTACGGGAGAGCTTAAGTACCTTTCTAGAGACAAACATTTTAACAAGGCCGTTCCGTCAGTCCTTGGGCCCTTAAAACACCCATCCGGGTGCCTTAAAGCATCTCACCGGGGACGTAGGAAAAGGTCAGACTTAGAGAACCCAGTCATAATAACTGTCATCTCTCGACAGATCCGATGGGCATCAATAAACACCCAACAGTGGTCATGTAACGGAGCAAAAAATGAAGATGCATCTCGCATACCAAAGTTGTGCATGAATATACCCCGGCACTTCTGACTCTTTATGAGAAATGAGCAACACTTTTTAAAATGAAACTACACAAAGGTTCCGCATGAAGGTAGTCATTTGAAAGTATTTACGTTAAGTTACTGGGTAAAGCGACAAACATTACATTGATAAAACCTGGGGTATTTTTGTTTTGGTCCAAGCTGATGTCCAAACTTATATTTCCGAGTGTTTTAGGACAGACTACTGATGGACCAGTGATTCTTCAGAAACATTACCTATTGCAAATAAAGCTAGTAACTCTTACTTTGCATCATAAAATAAATTACTCATTTATACAAAGTTCGCCTTGCAGAAAAGTTAATGTTTGGCATTGCACCGAAAGCAAATAATCATGCATAGTCTTCTTAAAGTGTGATAATACTATTTTTTAAAGAGCTCATTTGGTTTTAAATAATTTCGTTTAAGAAAAGACCTACAAATATTGGAGTAATTTTAACGAGAATGCCAATGAACCAAATTCCACTACCATCAAAGGTCATTTTCATGGAATACTGGGACTAAACGCATAACGGCTCAGGAAAGACACAATACGGCGTCCAAACTTTTGAAGGCAAAATACTTTCCCGAAGTTTATCCGTTCACCAGTCGTTTAATTTGGGCTGTCACCACAGCGGCCACAAATACCGTCTTGTCACCACGGCGACCTCGGTATATATGGACGCAGGTCCTCCTCTACCGAGCGAGCACCGAGGCCCCCGGCATGGCAGGAAAGGCCCCGCCGCTGAAGCGGCCCCCCGACACCCAACACCTCGTTTGACGGACACCTTGGCCTCGCCCCGCGCGCGGCCGCAATGAACGCGACTAATCGCGTACAAAGGCCCGATCCGTCGCAGGGCGGGCGGGCGCACGACCGGCCCCACGACTGCCGCACCGCGTTAATCAAAGCCTGTCAGCGTGCCATTGTGCAATTTGCTCCGTCCCGGGTTTCCCCTCCCCTTCCAGACGGGCGACGTCGACGGGCCGGGCGCGGTGTTTGGCTGACGCGCCGCGTTGCAAAGTGCAAGGTTACCGGCGGCCGCATTGTGTCGGCGTGACAGTCGGCAGGCAGGCTCCGCACGCGCCGGTTTAAACTTTCACACCGACACACCCGATCCCCCTTTTATTCCCCCCTTTTTTTTCCTTTTATCTGCGCATCGTTCCGCCGTGGGGAGGGCGAGACCACGTGCGCCTCACTTGCGCTGGTGGCAGGAAGCTGGCAGCCGGCACCGGCCTGGCCCGGCCCAGCCCAGGCCGAGCTCGGCGTTGGCTGTTTTTCTCGTTTGGGCCGAACACGAGACGGGGGAAAAGTGAAGCGTCTGACGGAGTGGAAATGGAAGTGGCACTTTTCTGGCTTTGCTGCTAGTGTCTCGCTTTCTCTCTCTCTCTCTCAGTGCATTTGGCAGCACTCCGTGGTTTGATGTCTCTTTGTTGGAGGACGCTTTATGCCGCGGTTTATCCGAGCCGCGATTCGCAAAAACCTGATGGTACTTAGGGTGACGGGACTTTTGCGAGCTGCCCACAAAAATAGTTAAAAATCCCAATTTTGGGCAGAATCATTCGTGCGCAAAACTGCAGCAGGACAAAAAAGACAAATCTGTCGTGAAAATGTGATATTTAACAACTAGATGTGGCCATAATGTGCGTTCCCTTCAACACATGAATTCGCCGCTTAAGGCATTAGGCAACAACCACATTTGCAACATCTCTTTGTTTGCAGCATGGGCCAGGAATAACATTTTAATTTCAGGAAAAATGAGCACGCAGCACCGCTGTGATGAAAGAAAAGGAAATATCAGACTTCGTCGTTGGATCAAATTACACCGGGGCTGGCAATGCAGCAGTGGCATCTGTACTTAATGAGTAACACAATCGCGAATTTGGCCTAGCACTGCGCAACCCCACCGCCCAGAGATCTGGAGATTTGTCTTAACTCAGGGTCACGATCCTCACCAACAATATATATCACTTTTTTTCTCATTCATACAATCTCATTCGCACCATTGGCCTTCATGAGACGCTAGCCTATAATTTGCATCGAGCCACAACTCAACGCTTGCGTCGCGAGCCTGAGCATAAATTCCATACTCGACGAATCGATGCATCCGTCACGTGCCTGACGATCATAGCCCATCCCCTCCTCCTGGCAAACGAGGACGCACGGGGGGGGGGGGCATTCGTGCCACCTTGCGTCGCCTTGGCATGCGTGGGCACCTGGGTGGGCACCAGGGCGTAGTATACGCCCGCCCCTCGGTGCGTCCGTGTGGTGGATATCGCCGCGTCCGCTAACGAGCGTCGAGGCGTGCCCGGAGGAGGATCCGCGGCGCCGCTCGGGTTTCACGCCGGGGATGACCCCACCGTGGCCACTACACCGGCTTGTTTGGATTGTACGCCACTTTTAAATTACAGTTAACTGTAAGGGGAGCTGATCATTGGCTACACAAGACAGCATGGCATCGGGTGTCCGGATGGACTACCTGTCCTCCACTCACAGCCACCACGCCCCCCACCCCCGTCCTCCCAGACTCCCTACACGAATGCACCCCCCCCACCCCTCCGCCAAACTCCACCGCTCCCTCCTCTTACCTTTTCTCCGCTCTTATGTCCCACACCCCAACTTGATTGTCCGACCGATCCTGCCCGTATATCCCCCCCACCCACCGCCACACCTCCCACTCCTCCGCCCAGCATTCGAGTGAAACTGGATTCTCCTTGCGTGTCTCACGGGGCATCACTAAACGGGTCACTTTCCATGCGGCGACGGATAAACGGGCCCCGCCGAGCACCCCCACCCTCACATGCCCCCCCGCCTCCCCGTGCCTCTGTAAGACAACCCGCTTGTTTACTGCAACTCCTTGATTTACGCCCACAGATAAACCACGGGGGATGCCCGCCGCCCGCCCCCGCCCCATTAATCGGTCATCTGTCTTTCACTTTCTTCTTTTGACGTCCGTGAATCGATAGGGATCCATATCCGAGTGGAGCAAGCATCATAGATACAAGTCAGGGTTGACAGTTTTCTTCGCCGACATAACCAACATGTCCCGCGTGCGTTTTTTTCTTCCTCCTTCACATACCTGCAAGGAAATGTCGTAAGGGTCCCACAATTATGACAATTTAATTACATCATTTATTTGATTTTCGTACACCGGGTAAAAATGTTAATATGCCTAATAAGAGGCCATCCCTGCGCACTGAACTCTCTCTCACTGCGGTAAAATTACCAGAAATGCATCCAATTGTGTCGGATCTCAGAAGCTAAGCGGGTTGAGCCTGGCTAGCATGGAATAGGTGGCCACCAGGGGCTTGCGAGGTGTGGACAGGAGATGGCAGGGCTGAGTGTCAACCCTCGCATGCCTCGTGCCCCCCCCCCCCCAAAAAAAAAGGGCTCAATAAAGCGATTGGCCGAGTATCCCAATTGAGCAGGAACCCCCCGGAAAACGTTTGTGAGACCCAGTTTGATGCTTTAATGGCTAAATAAACAGAATAATTGCAAATATTCTTATTGAAAACAAAATATCAGAGCAGGTTGTATATCCGCTTAGAACAAAACCTGGCCAACCCTACTGCGTCAACCTCTGCTCCGTCCCCCCCACCGCCCCCCCCCCCCCCTTTGCCCCCTCCGTCTTCACAATCAGCAGCCAAGCTCAACAGCAACCCGAGCACCGCAGGAGATGCAACGCTTGGCCGGGCTGGACGATAATTTATGCATGGCGGCCCCCACGCTCGTCTTACCGCTCCACGCTCGCTCGCCCGCCCGCCCGCCCCGCGCGTGCCACCCCCCCCCCCATCCATCTGTCCGTGCCGGGTCCCAGGTCCACTATCGATTTACCTGCCCTGTCCAATCTCACTTCTCTGATGGCCTTTTTTTTTGTATACGTCCTTACATTTAATTAGCGTCAGGGACTGTTGTGCGCCGCATTGTTTTATTAACTCCCCTACATTTAATTAGAGGCAGGACCCGCGGCTCGCTTACACGCCACGGTGTTTCTCTCTTTACGGCCTCTCCCACCCCCCCCCCCCCCCGCAAAGGATGAACGCTCAGGTCGTGTTTTTTAAAGCCCCCTGCCGCTCCTCCGCCCAGTCGCGAGCCGCGGGCCCGGGCTATCGGGTCGCTCCCGTGTACCGGGAGGGTAATAGTACGCTGTTGTTTAGCCTGCCCGCCGCTCTGTAAAATTAGGAGGATCCCTTACACACCGCTTCGCTGTGTTAATGCGGCTGTACTTATGTGGAAAGAGGCCGAGTCAACGCTGGTGTTTCCTTTTTTCGTTAACTGGCAAGGCACAATCCGATTTGCAGGCTTGGCACGGGCCCTGTTTAACGATTTATATTTTTTGTTTTGAAAA